GCTGTGGCTCAAGTAGTAGAGCATTTGCCTTGAGCTTAAGAACACAAAGACAGTGCCCAAGCCCAAAGTTCAAGCCCCACAAGTGACGAAACAAACAACAACAACAACAACAACAAGAAACCATCAAGAAAGATAAAACCTCTTGTGTCCCTATCTTGGGGTTTATTTCACTTAGCATCATCTTATATGGTCATATTACATAGCTTTATTTTCTTTTAAAGAAAATTACAAGATCTAATTCAAAGTGACTGTAGGTATTATAGCAAGTCCAATAAGAGGACAACTATTGGAAATTTACACTGTTGGGTGAAATATTAAGAACTGGCATTTAGATATAAAAGAATAGGAACATTGTTGTCAGGAATAGTGTTAACATATTACTGATATTAGACATTTCTTATAGAGTAACACCACCACACTTTAATATATGTGTATTTTAATTTTTATTGCTACTTTAACAGCTTAACATTTAAAGATAAAATGTTTTCAACACAAAAGTATTTTTTTCCAATAAGCATTTCTTGAGGAGTCACCAAATGACAACCTGAAGCAACTTGCCAAATATATTTCAAAGGATAAACAACAACATCACATCTGATGTTCAATAATTGAAATACGCTTCTGTTTTTTAAAAAAAGAAGCTTTTTAGAACTCAAAATAAAGTTAATTTTATCACTAAACTCTGACAAGACATCTAAATCTTACTCTGAAATTGCTGGTTCAGACTTCGACTACTTCTGAGAAAAATCTGCCAATCAAGTTAAATTGTGTGGTAGCCTGTCAATCCCTTCCCACAAGCAATTAGAAGAAAATGACCTACAGCATTTCCATTTGTACGGAGAGAATTTAAAGGCTTGTCTCAAAAGGTGAAAGGCTATTTCATTAAGTTATGGCTGACAGAGAAAGGAGACCCTCTTGATGGGAGTTCAGCCCATAAATAATGTTGTTCTAGAAATAAATAGTGGTAATTGTACCCTGGGACTCAAATCGAGGTAGGGCAGCCATAGTACATAAAAAAAAAAAACAACAAAAAAAAACCAATGGGTCTATATACAAAAAAAATTGCTTCGTATTGGTTTCATTTTTTCTTTTATTATTTTTTCTTTTGCTTTCCTACCCTACATTATATTAACTATTGATATGTGTATGAGTTTGGTTATTTTAGGTTTATGTTAAATAAAGCAATGGAAGTGAAAAGTGAAAACCTGGTATTTTCTTGTACTGCTCATATGAAATGTGGTGGTTATGTTTTGCCAGTTGAAATAATACCATTTCAAGACTTTGAAGATCTGGTTTGTTAATATAAGTCTGCCAATGTCAAGGACAATTACACTCTCCTCTTCCCTTTATTAAAGCAGACAAATAAAAACTGACTTCACTGCCTTAAAGTATGATGAGCATTAAGTGAACTAGTATATGTAATTATTGAAAAAAATCCAGGGCCACCATGATGACTCTCTAAGGAACTGTCTGGGAATAGGGAAGGGCGACTCGGGAGAACTACAAGCAGCAGCTAGTGAGTTGTTGTTAGGGTTGCAACTAAACTTGTTGCAATGCAGAAGACAGCGCCCGGACTCCAAACAAAGAATACTTTGTCCAAAATGTAAACTGCTTCTGAGATTGAGAAAAATTGACATGAAACTGTTTTAAGTCACTACCTACAACTCTGCTGTTCTTTGTGCTATTATACTAAGGATGTCCTTGTTATTTGAGTATTAAAGTTTTTAGACCTGCAGGTATAAGATTGTTTGGAGAAGCCATAGTTGTAAAAAAATGGTTGCAATTAAGGTATTGATGATCTAACATTTTCCAGACTTAAGGTCTGTCCTACTCTAGTCCTTTGAAAGGCTTAGCTTCGCAGTAATTGACAATGTGAGTACAGTTCAAATTGTGTACAAAGCAAAAGTGCAATGGTTGAAAAATCAGAAAGTTACTTGTCATTACTGATCCAGATATGGGATTCAGGGCATGTCATGCATTAAGATTGGCGATGTAAACAGTTGGGGAGTAAGAAATGAGCATATAGTTACTGCAATTTCACCCTAAGATACTAAGATAAATAGGTATGATGACCTCCAGTGAATTGTTTATATAGCTTGGGAATTGATATATATTGGAGGTAGAGTGATCTACTTGTCCACATCTGGAAGATGGGTTTTGTAAAGGCTAGCCACTACAAATCAATAAGACTTTCTCAATAAATTGGAAGCACTAAATTCTATACTAAGACTACATGGATGGAAGCTCAACTATTATCCTTAGAAAATAAAAGTAATGCACCAGAATCAACTCCAAATGGATCAAAGACCTCAAAGTCAAAGCAGACACTCTGAAAACATTACAGGATGGAATAGGAGAAAACCTAGGTCTCCTTGGCTCAGGCCGAAATTTTCTGAATAGAGACTCAGAAACACAACAAATCAAAGAAAGGTTGGACAAATGGGATTGCATGAAATTGCAGAGCTTCTGTATGGCAAAGGATATAGCTAGCAAGATCAATAGAAAGCCCACAGATTGGGAGAAGTTCTTCACTAGCCATACAACAGACAAGGGTCTCATATCTAAAATATACCAGGAACTCAAAAAATTAAATCCCCCAATAATAAATCTTCAAAGAAACAACTACCCAATAAATAAGTGGGTTAAAGACTTAAAGAGAAACTTGTCTGAAGAGGAAAGAAGGATGGCAATAGCCACATGAAGAAATGCTTAACCTCCCTAGCCATAAAAGAAACGCAAATCAAAATAACATTGAGATACCACCTCACCCCAGTTAGAATGGCTATAATCAAGAACTCTAATAACAACAGATGCTGGAGGGGATGTGGACAGAAGGGAACCTTACTGCATTGTTGGTAGGAGTGTAAACTTGTTCAACCACTTTGGAAAGTAGTATGGAGGTTCCTCAAAAGACTCCACATAGAGCTCCCCTATGACCCAGCAATCCCACTTTTGGGCATTTACCCAAATGTTCACAAACAAGACCACATTAAAGCTACGAGCACGACTATGTTTACTGCAGCATTATTTACCATAGCTAAGATATGGAACCCACCCAGATGCCCCTCAGATGGATCAAGAAAATGTGGCATATATACACAATGGAATTCTATGCCTCCATCAGAAAGAATGACATTGCCCCATTTGTTAGGAAATGGAAAGACTTGGAAAAAATTATATTAAGTGAAGTAAGCCAGGCCCAAAGAAACATAGGTCCCATGGTTTCCCTTATCTGCAATAACTAGTATATGTCTGAGTCAAGCAGAAAAGGTCAGATAAGTTGATGTTAGGGAAATGACCCTAAGATATGTATTCAATTTTTTTTTCTTTCATGTGATTGTTTCTAACACATTTATAAGATTATTTCTTTGTTGCTTTGTATGTCCCTTCCCCACGGCATAACCCCTGCTTTCACTGTATTTGATGTTGGTATAATTTGTGGAGGGGAAGGGGAAAAACAAATCGTTTAAATAGGGATACAGGTGGACCTATTGTACAAGTGGTTATGTCGAAAACGAACTTTACAACTTTGGTGGGGGGAAGGGGGGAGGAGAATTGGGTGGGGGGGCAGGGGGAGGCCGGGAAGGGATGGGAAGGGGAAACAAAGGAGGAGGCTACAATGCTTGATAAGAAATGTACTCATTATCTTGCCCATGTAATTGTAACCCCTCTGTACAGTATTTTCACAATAGAAAAAAAGAAAATAAAAGTAATCCAGTATCTGACCTTTTCCGCTTGACTCATACATATACTAGATATTGCAAATAAGGGAAACCATGGGACCTATGTTTCTCCAAATGGCTTTGTGATTGAGGCCTAGATGCAAAAAGGGGTAAAGAAGAACTCATGGTAATCAGGGTTAAAAGAATTAGTACTTGCTTTATCAAAAGTTTATAATTTTAATTCATATTCTTAATATTCTAAGGACAATGCCACACAACTAAATTTTGAATAATTTTAAGGATAAAAAATGTGTTTAACATAGGTCCCTTGGCTTCCATTATTTGCAATGACTAGTACATGCGTAGGGACAAGTAGAAAAAGCTCAAGAGCTATGTACATATGACCAGATAAGATTCTGTTAAGTGAAATGAACTCCAAGATAGGGACACAAATATTTTTTTCTTTCTTGCTATTATTCCTAACGTATTTATAATGAACCATGTGAGGTTTTTTTTTTGGTGTTGTTGTTTCTTTGTATGTTCCTCCCCCACGGTATAACCCTGTTTTCACTGTATTTGATGTCAGGACCCTGCATCTTGTATATACACTTCTCTAATTTGGGGAGGGGAAAGGAAAAGAACAAAATGCTTAAAAAAACGAATACAGGTTGACCCATTGTAACAATGAGATGTATGAGACACTATGTTACAAACGAACTTTACAACTTCAGTGTGGGGGGGGGGGGTGTAGTTGTGGAGATGGGAGGGAAGGGATGGTAGGAGAAAAACAAAGGAGGAGGCGACAATGCTTGATAGGAAATGTACTCTTTACCTTGCTCATGTAACTAACCCCTCTGTACAGTATTTTTACAATTAAAAATGTACAAAAAACATGTTTAAATAATTTAATGGGCATTTTGACTTTAAATTCCAGTAAGATTCATTTTAGGAGAATTTCCTAATTCTAACTGTCCTAGAATACTAATGAACACATGCACTCCTCCCAAAATTAATTCTTCTACTTCTGTCAAAAGTGTCTTTTTGCACACTGCCCCATCTCCTCAAAATCACTGCCACCGTTTATTCTTGTTTTCCACGAGAAAAATGTCTTCTCCTTCTTACGTCCATGCTTATTCAAAGGTGCCAGCAGAAAAGTATTTGAGCTTCTCAGAATGTATATCTTTCTCAGGAACTCAGTTATCTTCCTAAATTTCAAAGCTTTCTGATAAAGGAGTAGGAAGGGGCAGACCGATTATATAGATTTTTCTTTCTCTTTAATGAGGACTAATTATTTATCATACTTATTTTATCATTTAGTCAACTTAAATTGCATGCCTATTTTTTTTTTTCATGTCAAGAGTTTATTTACAAACATATCTAGTATTCTGAGTTGGAGAGTTTAATCCACTTTCCAGAGTCTGTACCTCTTCAATTCTTATCTGTTAAATGGTGAATTACGATACCCTTACTTCTTAAGCAGTTGGTGCCTCACTATAAAAAATGGTGCAGCAAACCCAGATCCAAAGAATACAGTCATCATGGCCAGTAACCGCCACTTGTTTTCCACTGAAAATGGCAGAGTCTTCCCCGGGCCGTGCTCATAGTGGGCCCGACGGATCACAGAGGTTGTAAACCTCCGGACGCTTTGGCCCAACATGCATGCCTATTTTTTAAGTATGTAAATTTCAGCCACTGGACTCTTGTTCACCTTCACTGAACTTACCAAACAAAATTCCAAAGTGATTGAATCCATCTCATGTCTAATAAGAATTGCTCTTATCCAGCTGCTGGTGGGTCACACCTGTATAGCTACTCAGGAAGGTGAGATCTGAGGCTCACCATTGGAAGCCAGCCTGGGAAGGGAAAACTCCATGTGACTCTTATCTCTAATTAACCACCAGAAAACCAGAAGTGAAGCTGTGGCTCAAAGTGATAACATCCTAGCTTTGAAAATAAAAGCTCAAGGACAATGTCCAGGTCCTGAGTTCAAGCCCCATGATTGACATCCCTACCAATCCTCCTCCCCCACCCTCCCAAAAAAAGAAGGGCTCTTGAGGAATTATATAAGACACAAAAAATAAATACAACCCTATCAGTCTGGATAACTACATGAGCACAAATTCCAAGGAATTCTGTGTACTTTTGTACAAACTTATTAAATCATTGGACAAGTCATTTTCTCACTGAGAAGATTCTATACCTGCTTTTCCACCCAGTCACCAACATCTCTGATGCCCATACTCTTAAAAAAGCTAATGAGTTCAACTTTCAACCAAATAAAAATGGACTCAGAAAAATATTTCTTGCTTTTATCTTCACTGCCAGATGTACCAGCCTACCGGCACCTGTTCATACATTGTATGCATACTTCCCCAATGAAATAGTTGCCCTACATGGCATGTTAACATAGGGTGCCAACCTTCACTGATACAGTGAACTCATTGGTATTATTGATACCGTGAATATTCTTTTATGTCTTATGAGAGTTGTCTTCCTCTGATTTGTGAATGATCTATTTTTCATTACTACTACATTATTCCTATTGTTACATAACATGCTGTCATTTTCCTTTTTAATAACAAAATATATTTTCCTTGTACAGTTTACATTTCCTGACTGTAATTTCTATGTTGTTTTTAAATGATAAAATTTCTTTTTGTAATTGTGAAAACACCGTATAGAGGGGTTACAATTACGTGGGCAAGGTAATAAGTACATTTCTTATCAAGCATTGTTGCTTCCTCCTTTGTTTCCCCTTCCCATCCCTTCCCATCTCCCCCCTCGCACTCCCCCCACCGCCCGCCGCCAAAGTTGTAAAGTTCGTTTTTCAACATAACAACTTGTACCTCTCATTGTTGCAATGGGTTTACCACCTGTATCCCTAGTTAAACAATTTGTTTTTTCCCTTTTAAGTGATGCTAAAGTGCTATAATTTGACTATCATTTACTATAAAGACAACAATAGCTGCAAATCACTGCAAGTCAACTACAAACCACAAAAACCTCCGTTTTCATTAGTATTGTTTTGAAACATTTGTATTGCTATTCAAATATATTGTATGTTGCATCATGCGATAAAAATAATAAAAAATTATTCTGTTCCTATAAGTAAATGGGATTTTGTTGGGGGGATGTGAATTATAAACAGCTATGAGATTAGGAGCTAAGCAACATCCTCCTGTAGTTCTCAGTCTGAATTGAAAGATATAAAATTCATGAAAATGTGCATGTTTAAGCTCTGTTTACTGAAAAGGTTTTGCATCAGGGACTTAACTCAGTAGTGGTTGGTCTCTCCTTCTAGCTTGTCATCTCTAAATACCCGTATCCACTGGTAGGAATTGGAATTGGCCTTTGAAGAAAAGACTCATTCTAGGACTGATGAAGAAACAAGGTAGCCTGGGTTATCTGGTCACTGAAAACTGAATTTCAAATCTCACTGAGGGCATATAAATGTGTCTCTGTAGTCCTTACTATTAGCTCATTATTTCTCACTTGCCCAAATTGGCATAATTTAGTAACCAAGTAAAACTTCTTGTAGATTCACACATCCGTGTGTACTGACATTCAGGAATTTATAATGGCATTCAAGAAAAATTAAGTCATTTTGAGAGTTATAAGATAGATGATAAAAGCAAGATTCCCAACATATATCTTACACTAATAATTAAATGGAGTACAGTAGCTTAAAAAGGACTTGCAAGACCCAAAATGCCAGTACTTACACCTCCACAGTTTATTAGAGAAATAGGATACAACCTACCAAGTCATTACAGTCAGTAGATGCACAAAAACTAACATCTTTATCAAAGCAAGCGAGTTCAAAGAAGCCAGATGCATCATTACTTATGAAGTGGTATGGAAAAAAAATGCTGAAACTGATTGAATCTACCTCAATCTACTGATCTAACCAATCTCTCAATCTAACTACCAGCCTTTGGAAAACATGGAACATAAATTAACATAACTAGCACTATGTGGATACAATCAGCCAAATGCAGCTTATACAAAACTATGACTCATTTTCTTCAACAAAAATTATGAAAGAAAAATGTGGTGGTTACAAATAGATATGAGATTATATCAACCATTTAGAACTGGTGAGTGTTATTTTGATCTGGTATGAATGAAGTAACTTAAAATTCTATCCAGAAACGGAGGGAAATCAAACAGTGGATAGAACTATAATTACAGTAAGAAGTTAGGTGGTTTTACACTTTTAAGGTAAATTAGTGGCATAAAGTTACATTTTAAAAAGCATTTTATCAGTGGGCATTTGTGGCTCATGCCAGTAATTCTAGCTAAAAAGGAGCCTGAGATCTGAGGATCATAGTTCAAAGCCAGCCAGGGCAGGAAGGTTTGTGAAATTTTTATCTCCAATAACTTACAAAGAAGCCAGTGGCGCTGTGGCTCAAGTGTTAGAGTGCTAGCTTTTGAGCAAAAGAGCTCAGGAACAGTGGCCAAGCCCTGAGTTTAAGCCCCAGTACCAGCACAAAAAGAAAAAAAAACAAACCAACAACTCACACCCCCCTCCTCCCGCCCTGACTTTATCTCTTAAAGTACTTTAAAGTAGTAAGAAGATTAAATTAGACAATGCATTTTCCTAGCATACTGGCAGCACTAAATAGATGATTAATACTTTAAAGTCAGAGAATATATTCACCTTAAGATGTCTATTCAAGCTGGGCGCTTGGGGGCTCACGCCTGTAATCCTAGCTACTTAGATGGAGGATTGCGGTTCAATGCCAGCCCAGGCAGGAAAGTCCATGAGATTCTTATCTCCAATAAATCACCAGAAAACCAGAAGTGGCATGCTGTGGCTCAAGTGGTAGAGCACTAGCCTTGAGCTGAAGAGCTGAGGGACAGCGCCCAGGCCCAGAGTTCAAGCTCCATTTTATTAAGATTCCATAAATTATTTTATTTGAGAAAAATAACAAAGTTTAAATATATGCTAGACTACTGTTTAGAACTTCATCTGAGTAGGTGTAATAGGGAGTGACTTTTGTAATTTCCATAGAGCTTACTCAGGCACATCGAAATTCTCGAGAAAAACAAAAATTTTAAATGTTTAACAATTTAACCAATCATATTATTCTTCCTGTATTGAGAGAGGACAATTATGTATAATCTTAAACTGGTGCTAACATTGACATGGTATTTTAAAAGTCATAATGATCATTTTGTATAATGTGAGCACTTCCACTTTAAACTTTATTTTTGTTCAAGTTTTCAAGTGGATTCAAAAAAACCCTTGCCTTCACATTGGACATTTTCTGTGGCCTGTGCAGCAAGCTCTGTCCTCACACACACAAACACACACATCACTTTTTTATGAAGAAGTATGTTTGTAAAGATGATATTATCACTGTATCCTTTTTATCTGAGATGATACCACAGATACACTAGTTAGTATGATTTTATATTCGATGTGAAAATAAAAGATACAGATTCGGTACAATGAAAAAATTCAAAGTACAGTCTTTACTTCTGTTTCAAGTTTAACCACCTACCCTTCCTAAACTGTCTCAAAAAAAAAATGAGGAAACACGTTTAGTAAAATTAAGGAATTAAAATTTACCATCTGCAAGAACATTATATCAAGGGTATAATCAGGTTTCAAATTTTCATGAAAAGGACACTAACTTGAATCTTGGTAAACTTTCATTTATAAAAGACATAAAAATAAATTTCAATAAAAATCTAGGCACTAGGCTCTAAATATCCCCCAAGTTCTCAGGTCTCTGTTGCTTCCATAGTTATTGGAAGTGGAAATCTGGTACATTTTTCCCTATGATTAGACTGCTTACAGAGCATATCTGACCTTAGAAAATGGAGATTATCTATGGTATAGTCAAGGCATGGTAGGTCAATAGAGGTGGAATTGGGAGGTTCACAGTTCCAGACAACAGTTAGTAGACCTTAATCTCATGTCCATCTTATCTTCTTCCAATTCTCCTTTCAGTTTGCTCAAAAATTTCCCTGATATTTTTGATTTAAATAAATATGTTTAAAATATATTCATGGTGAAAATATATATTCTCTTCTTCATTCCTCCATCATCCCCAATATGTATCTTTATGTAAGCTTTGATGTGTGTATAAGAATGCATATTTATTGCCATTTCTATGTCAATATATATACATACATACACTGACATATATATGGTGGGCATAATCTGAGATATCAATCAGATCTCCATGTTTTTATAATTATTCTGTTGCTAACAAATTTATTAAAAATATTGCATTGTTTTTGAAGTTTTTCTGTCTATATTTTCTGCCTAAAATTTGAGTCTGTGATATGTACTCTATCATGAATCATGTTTTATTCTGTGCCAATATTCTATCATGGTCATGTGGCTGGTTATTAATGCATGACAATGCTAACACTGACTAATATACTGAAAAGACAAATAAGAAAAATACCCTTTGGCTTTTAAACCTATCTCTAAAGTCTCCTGGTTTCAGAGCCTTTAGCACATTAAGCACAAATCCCAGTTTCCTAATCTATAAGTTTTCTATATTCAAGGTAATTTGGGGGAATTAATAATATGTGAATCATTTTACAACTCAGACATGAAAAGCCCTCTCTAAATGCTAAGGATTTATTTAATTATACCATAGGGGACATTTGGGTTTATATTGTAAAGCATATATATTT